ATCCATCACCCTTGAAGTAGTTCCCCTGGGAGTGAACACAACGATCCCAGCGCCGCTGCCAAGCCTGGAAGCATCCCTGGAAATCTTTCTTTGTCAGCCTGTCAAGCACCATCTGTGATTCTGCCTGAATCTCTTCTATCGTCTCAAATCTCCTTCCCTTTAGCTGAATTTTCATCTTTGGGAAGAGGGAGAAGTCACACGGAGCTTAGAAAGGAAGTTGGGGTCGGTTCTTGCAAGATCTTTTAGCTCCTGACAAACGAGAAGTCGATTCTGCTTCTGGTCCTCAGACAGGAGCCTTGGCACAAACTTGGCTGCGATGCGTCGGATGTGGAGTTCTTCCTTTAGAATCAGCTGACAGATCCCATAGTCTATCCCAACAATGTCGCACAAGTCGTTGATGGTATGACGTCGATCTTCGTGAATGGCCTGCTGAATCTTCGTAACATTTTCGGGCGTTGTGCTCGAAGATGGTCGTCCAGAACGCTCGTCATCATCGACAGAGGTTCGGCCATTTTTAAAACGTGAATGCCACCCAAAAGTTTGTTCACGACCCATTGCGGACTCCCCAAATGCTTGCTTTAGCATTTCATAGGTTTCCGTAGCCGTTTTGGCGAGTCTTTGGCAAAATTTGATGCACACGCTATTCCGAAATCGCAGGAGGGTCGGTGTAATACACTACCAAAACGCCCGTAACTAAGAAACAAATTCTAATTCGATGATGCCGGCTGGCACACTGATTCACTATGAATGTAGGCCGCACCCCCTAGCGGCAGAAGCTCGTACTACATCCGGTTCGCCCTCTATTGACACAGTCTCGAAACTTTCCGATCGCACCTCGTACATAGGTATAAGTGAAATTGAGAATATTTTTGTATTTTTTATTTGTTAGCCCAGAACTGACTTGGTGAAGGGTGAGAACAATAAACTCTGTGCAGGTTAGCACAGAATTTTGAAAAGGTTGAAAAACGTCTTGCGTAATGCGTTATATTTACTCATACTAGGAGGACAGAAATACGTACACTTGAACCATTAGTAAATGAGGTTGAAATTGTTTTTGAATGGTTGACAAATATAAATACACAGGTAGAAATGAACCATGCACGAGGCAAGAAAATGTGTCCTGAACTCCACTGATATTTTGTTTAGGACTATTTGGAATATGGAAGACTTGCCAAAGCAAGTGAAATGAATCTAAAATTGTAATTTCTTATAAGAAGGGCAATAATTATCGGCGAATGTAACTTTTATCAGCTACATATAAATTGTTATTGAACATTATTCTATAAAGTTTAAGTAAAGTTTATTATGGATTATCAATGCCGATTTCAACCTTAAGCACCGAGTACTGATTTAAATATTCTGCATTCGTCAGATACTAGAAAAACAACATGAGTCCAACGAGAAAGTTCATCGGTTATCTATGGAACTTAAAGGAGCTTAAAATTTCGTTAGCAGGGATGTGCTACATAATATTCTCATTGAAATATATACCACCGAATGTGGTTAGGCTAATTAAGACGTGTTTTTATAAGGACAGTTTGAGTAGACATTTTCCTGGTGCATTTCCTATCCAGAATTCTGAAACAACTTTCAACTTTGATTTCGAGTGAGGAATTAGGAAGGTACAAGAAAACATAAATTTTGGCATTGAAAAGGACAAATCAGTTTTTGATCTATAATGATAATATTAATTTAATAGGTTGAAATATACAAGCCATAAAGTAACATAGAAACTTTACAGGAGGTAGTAGGAAGTTTGTTTAGAAATAAGAACAAGAAATGAAAAACTCAGGACGAAGTCATCATATGAATGTAATTTGTAGATGAGGCAGAGTTCGCATATTTGGGGACGACATTAACTAATCAAAATTTGTTCACGCGGAGATTAATAACAAACTGAATTTGGGGAGTGAAGTTTATAGTATTTTCCCTTCCCGTCAGCCACCTGAAACGTCAAAGCATACAAAAATATAATATTATCCGTCGTTTTGTGTACGTGTGGAACTTGAGACCCCACGCTACGTGAGACACACGTGAAATTGGCTAGTGTTAAATTTTGGCTGGGAAGTCCGAAAGAAAAATATATATTTCAAGATCTAGAGGTAGCTGCTATGACAATATTAAAAAGTATTCTAAGAAAATAGAGTCCAGTGGCTTGGATTGGCTAATGTTGTTCAGCGTAGAGATTTATAGAGGGATGTTGTGGTTCTTTGGACAGAAGGACAGAACCCATTTGTTATAAGTGTCCCATATTTTGAAGGAGCTGACTTCTACTAACGGTTATTCTGTGTTGCGTAAGCCAAGGACAGATCTAAGTGACGTTTTTACATAATAAGAGCTTCGAAAACCTTGCACAGTAATGCGGAGGAAAAATCATTAGGAAAATATGACAAAGGATATCAAATGTCGGAGAATAAGCTCTCATTAGGCCGAATGATGAATGATGGGCTGCATTGGTAGAACGGAGACAAGCTGATCAAGGAATTTTGTAGAAAATAAGTTTGGCAAACTGCTGGAAGATTCACACAGTATATTGAATAAGTGCAAAAATTACTTCAGTCAGTTATTAAATGTGTTTGGGGTTATTCATATCAAGCAGACTGGAATACATAACAGCTAAGCCATCCAAGTGCCTGAACTCAGTTATTTTCAGATTTTTATTACTATTTAGAATTTAAGGAGGTATAAATCACCAAGTTTTCATCAGACTCCGACAGAACACTTCAGAGGAAGACGTGGATCGTTATACAACAGGATCCATAATCTTACGGATTTATTTACGGCGAGAATTGATGACTACATCAATTGAAATAATCCACTATTGAATCTACTCATTAAGAAGAAAGTCACTAATTGACTAATTACGCCATTGCCAGGAACTCCTAGCAGATTTTACCCGACACTTTCAAGTAAATGTTAATTCTATAAGAAAGCGATATTTCTGGGGAATGTCAGTGTTCATTTCGACGTAATGGTTCAACAACGAATCAGCTGTTATGCATTGGTTCATACTGAGAAAAGTTATAACACGTCTAAACAGCTTGTTGCCGAGAACGTGATTATAATACAACGTGCTAATTGGATTGGGTATACCCATCAAACAGGTTCGGCTGTTTAGCATATGTTTAAGCGAAACCTGTATCAAAACCCGAGAAGGTAAACGTTTCTGCATTGAATTTCCTATTTGGAATGATCTGAAACAAGGAGATTCTTATTTTTAAACGTCTCTTTGGATTATATCACCCAAATGGTCTAAGAAATCGAATAAGACACCGGTTTCTTGTTTATACTGTCAATATATTCGGCGAAGATATGATTGCCACGTAAGACAGTACAGAAACTGCATTAGACGCTGGCAAAAGAATTTGGTATATCTGTAAAAGGAAAGAAATCGCATAGACGTCCTAGTGATTTCACCAGAATATGGCACAAAGACACAACATTGAGACAACTAATTAATTTCATGAAAATGGGACACAGTTCTAATAACTGTGAACGGCAAATTCAAATTAAAATTGCGTCCACGTTCAAATTAAGAGCAGATAAGTTTCGGGAAATTCTTTCTATCGTTTGAGGGATTTTTTGTTTTGTTTTTTCAGTCCATCAAGTCAAAATCAGGGATGACGCAATGAAACTGGCCCACGAAACCTTCGTTCTTAACTTAATCGCATAATTGCTATGGTAGCTTTTAGAAATAATGCAAATATTGTTGAAGAAATGTAACGGGCTGACATTTGTCATTATTTTTGATCACAGTAGAGAAAGGGAGGGGGAGGATTATAGAATGAGGGATACGCCGGGAATCGAAACCGAGACCCCAGGATTACAAGGCCAGCGTTCTAACCGCTAAACCGCCGTGGCTATTTGAGGAATAATTACAAAACGTAAATGTCCCTCAGTGACATTCGTCGCACCGTTTCCATTGATAATACGAAACCTTTTATATGCCTTTCTAATCTCCTTAATATTGGTAGATTTTCGTTGAAAGAATTCTCGACGACGTAGATATTCAAAGATATTAAAGTTTCCTTCTTTATCTTGTCCGTGTCTTCTTGATAAAGAGAGATCACACGAGAAACATACGTTCTCTGAGGTAGTATATTTGCGTCATATTGTGAATTAGGTTAATATTTTCCGTCAAATCACAATTTTTAATAAGATAATAAAAATAAGATAATAAAATATAAAATATTTAAAATATCATTTCACGTTCCGCATCGATGCGGAACGTGAAATGATATTTTAAATATTTTATATTTTATTATCTTATTAAAAATTTTGATTTGACGGAAAATATTAAAATATACGTTCTCTGGACAATAGCTATTACGATAATGACGACAAACCATCAGCTTACAAACCAATGTGAAGCATTTCCTTCAGATGTACATTGCTTGTAGCCCAGTGTTCAGTGGACTTGATGTCTGTGCTATTCTCGTCACAAAAACTAGTCAGTCAGTCGAAGGAAATATGAAGGCATTCTTTATCAAATTTATGTTTGTTAGAAGATGTTCCTTGTTGTCGAAAGGGCTAGATTTGTTCTCGGTCGATAATTTTCGTTATGCCTTGGAATATTAATCTGTGCATCAAGCTCGTAACAAAATACCGGTTAATTTCTTAAATGTCGCTACTTTTTCAAGCGCTGAGGCCAGTGGCATTGCTTCGTGTCAGGGCCATCTTGTGACGTAAATGCTCGTCCAAGGACCGGATCAGCCATCATATTTTGCACAAGCAAACTTCCATGATCAGAGTAGCCGCGAGGTTTAGGGCGTGGTAATTCGTGTGGTTATAAGTTGTGATGGCGTGTGTGTGTATATGCAGGCCTTGTAAGGATCCCCCCCACCCGCCGTCACGGGATCTCCGTAAAATAATATCGGATTTAAAGTTTCCTTGTCGAGTAACAGAACGAATTTGACATTAAACACGCTTTAAAAAATCTTCCAGAGAATTAGCTATTCCGAGGGTCTGCTTAGCTTTCTGATCTAACTCGTCCGTTTCAGGGGTCATCGGCTATCTGGCTGGCGGAATTCTATTCTTCCTGCTGGGTTGCCTGAGTTTCATCTGGACGCCTCGAGATCTCCTCCTGACCGAGGTATGACTATCAGCAGCGTCTCCACTTTTCAGAGATCTTTCAACCTCGTGATGAAATGTCGATCGAATGGATATTTTCGTGCTTCAGAGATTGAAGATGAGGAAGGGGTTTCCGGCTTTCGAGTGGTGGGCCGATCCCCCGCAGGAGGTGTTGGTCCGCATGTACGTCTTCAACGTCACTAACTATGACGAATTCATGAACGGATCCCAGACAAAAATTCACCTTCAAGAGGTCGGGCCCTACATATTCCGGTATGTAACCTTTATAGTGACACCGGGCCCTACATATTCCGGTATGTAACCCTTATACTGGCAAAACCCAGTCGTCCGAATTAAGTTGATCTTGCTGCTATGTCAAACGTTGGAATGTACCAACGAGTGAACGCGGCGCGAAAATCTTCATCTTCGCTGTCGTCAATTCCACCGACGTCAATGTCATCCCTATTTAATAGATATTTATATATTATTTACAGAGAGAAAATAGAACACAAGGATATCAGACTGAACGAAAATGGTACGTTGACGTATACAACGAAGCGAAGGGCTGTGTTCGAACCAGATCTGAACACACTAAGCCTCAACGCATCTCTGAATGTGCCCAACCTTGCTTTACTCGTGAGTATAATTTCTCTCACCCCAAAAAATATGAAGATCAATCCGGAAGTTAAAGACAGCTCGATCACGCAATGTCATCTTCTAAATATACTGAAGATTGCTGTCTTCTGGGTTATAGCGCCGTGTAGTCTGGTAGATGTTGTCGCCCTGATGACGGAGGCAGTATGACCTCTGAAACGTTGGTTAACATCGACGAGACTTCCCTTACAGTGAGAAACCAAGTCTTACGCACAACAGGTATAATTTAATTTTTGTATAGGCGCAAACAATTCGCTCTTAACTTTTTCATGAACATAATTTTAATTAGTTAACGCCAAATAATTGAATTGTTCTACATTCTCTGAGAATGTAATGACTAAATTATGTTACGGGTTGGTTTTGCTTTGTAGTGACGAGGTAGCTTTCAGTACGTTTGTTTTTAAATAAACAACATTACTTGTGTCTAACACATTTGTTCGTGTTTCCGGTGTGATATTTATTATTCCACCCGTAATTCAACCCATTGCCCTGCTTTGGTAGTAGTAGATAGTGTGAACTTTCTTGTTAAAGTCAGCTACATTGTTAATTGCAAAACGTTACTGAACTAATGTCAAAATACCATAAAATGGGGATCAGATGACACGTGCAAATTTACTACTTTCATCATAAAGTTTAGCTTTTACTTGAAATCGCTGTGTTAATGTAAGACAGTTTGGAAATATAAATTTT